GTGGAGTGGGGGGGGGGGGGACAACATATTTAGTATAGATAAGGAGTAGCGCTAATTTCAATATATGCATTAAAAGTTTAAAATTTAGTGGCAAAACTGGGAGCCGTGACCCCGTGGCCCCCTACTGGATCCGCCGCTGCCAAGTGGGTTATACAGTTTATAGTCTTTACTAAGGTAAAAATTAATGGTAATAATAACAAAAATTATAGCCTATATATATATATCATAATGATAATATGAGAAATTAGTAAAGTATAATAAATATTGATACCGTATTTATTCGAATAAACGCACCGCTTTGAATAAACGCCCCTTAGAATAAACGCACTGTCCAGAGCCTTGTTTGAAATAAATACTTCCTCGAATAAATTCCCCGGGGCGTGTATTTTTTCCTCGAATAAACGCCCCCCCACCTCCCCTTAAATGACTGCAAACAAGTCTAATGAAACCAACATCATTCTCAAAACATTCTATTAATATATGTATACTTTCTATTGGTTTTAAATTAAGAATTCTACAATCAATGTATTCTATTGCTGTTTTACTCCAGTAGAATTACATTGTTTCTAACCTAGTTGGAATTTTGACGGAAATTGTTTGTTGTACTTCCACATTTACAATGAAATTATGAGGAGCTTATTTGAGTATACGTATCCATTTTACACCAAAAACTTGCCTCCCTCGAATAACCGCCACTCAAAAACCCTTCTCAACAATAAACGCCCCGGGACGTTTATTCAAATAAATACGGTAATAAGTAAATAGGCCTAATAATATTAAAATGAACATAATGATGATGATACTAATGTTAATAATATTAATTTGATTTCACCTGTCGTTTTTGTGGACTATAGGCGTAATAAAGGTCCTTGTACCCATCCAGAAGCACCTCCGCTACTCTCAATACGTTACGCGAAATCGAGCCCAGGTTAGATTTATCAAAATATGGTGATTTCTTTCTGAAAATGTGACCGACATGAGAACATGGGACGACCTCTATTTTTCCTCCGCACTGCCATATCTAAAGAGAAAGAATGGTTCGGAAATTCATGGTATAATTGTTATGACCATTATAAATAATTAGCAGTAACATTTTAAAGTGTTATTTAATTACCAGAATGATAATCATCAGAGTTATATAATAGTCATCGTGTTCATTGTCATTTCTATAACCATCTATTATTGTACTACTACTACCACCATCACGACTGGTAAGATTGTCATCGTTATCGTCGTCATCATCGATTCTTCTCCTCCTCATCATCATCATTCTCACCAGTGTCATCATCATCATGATCATTATGTTCGTCATCATCTTCGAAAATAACGATAATGATATTATACATAATTATGATGAGAGCATACTGCCATAATCATAATCATTGTTGGTTAACACACCTTGAATGAGATTTCCAAGTTCTCGCTTCCCCACACTTCAAATCCAGGGTCATACATACCAAGGTGCTTGAAGAAATCCCGATGGATGGAGAAAAGCCCGCCTGCCATTGTCGGTGATCTGTGGTTGAACAAAGAATGAGTCAAGTGGTCGAGGATTGAATGGACGTCACAACCTCTACTATGTCTCATTGGCGCATGGTTCAAGATATTTTTGCCCATTGCTTTGTTGCAGAGAACCATGTAAAGGCTCAAAGTTAGGTGACCAGTATACACATATGGTTTGAGTGCACCGAAGAAGGACCAGGGCGTCTTTGGGAAGAGTATAATTTAATTTACTCCGGCACCACTTCATCTCCTCGTCCCGATTTGTGGAAGGACCTGATTACCTGCGCGTGCGCCTCTCACGACCACCAGGTATGCCGCATATTGACCACGCCATAGGCTTAAACACAAGTCATACAGCGCATTAGTGTTGTGTGTTTGGGTTATTTGCCTATCCTCACTTCTTGTTTAGATGACATAATAATAATTATAATAATAATAATAGTGACCGTCAACATAGACGATTTGCCAATCTGATACCCCTACGTAGGCCTATGTACTCAAGTGACTGGACTTAACGGCACCAGACAGAATACAAGATATCATAATTATTCTATATCAACATCATTACTAAGTTTTTCGAAATGTTTTGTAATGTGTCTTTTGTTTGAATTTTACCTTGCAATAGTTTTTAATAAACATTGACCAAGGTTTTTTGTATATGTTTTCCTTTATTTGTGAATAAAGGGTGTATCCAGGAGTCATGAAATGGTGAGCTGATGGGGTGGGAGGGAGGGCGATGGTGACGTGGGGAGGGGGAGTGGC